AGATGACGCCACAGAACAAACCCATTTGTAACACCTTCAACCGTGGCAAATGTACCTTTGCTAAGGAGGGCAAGCGATGCAAGTTCGGTTTCCATGTGTGTTGGAAGTGTTTCAAGCCTAAGCCATATTCCCAGTGTTGCGGTTCTTCGTGACGGGATCTCTCTCATCACGAGGGTGATGAGCCAGGCGGGAAACGACCTCGCTTGGAAACAAACGAGATTCCTTTGTCCAGGAGGCTGCCAATTTTTCCAGATGCACAGCATTCATCCAGAGCAATTTTTTGTGAGGTTTTTGCAGGCTGTGGCCGACTTAGTCGATTCGCTCAGCTTGCCGGTTTTGCAACACTAGCCATAGATGGGCCTAGGAACCAGCATTTGCCCGAAAGCCCCATCTTGAATTTAGATTTGGTTGAAAAGCCAATGCAGGACTGTTTACTCCGAGTGGTATCAGACGTCAGACCAGCTTTCATTCATGTGGCAATTCCGTGCGGCACAGGAAGTCGTGCTCGAGAGAAGCCAATCCCTAGACACTTGAAGCAAGCAGGAGCCCCAGAACCGAGACAGCTCCGTGATAAGAATTTCTTGTTGGGATTCCCTGACCTCTCTCCAAACGAGCGCGCACGTGTCGAAGCCGCAAATGAGCTTGCGCGTTTTACCATCCAACTCTTTTCAGTGGCCGTTGCACAAGGCACCATCGTGTGCATCGAAAATCCATTGAACTCATGGATGTGGGGTGCTCTCACGCACTTTGCCAACACATTGCTGCCTCAGAACCAGGCAATCGTTTGGCACTCCATGCACAACATTGAGTTCTCGAATTGTGCTCACGGCGGTGAGCGCCCTAAGATGACTCTGTTTAAGTGTACACATCCATGCCTTCAAGCACTCCATGCACGATGCCCGGGAAATCATGCACACAAGCCCTATGCACTGACTCGGAACCATGGAGGTTGGCAGTTCGACACAGCTAAAGAGAGTGAATATCCTCCTTTGCTTTGTAAACGAATTGTGAACCTGGTACGGGAGTGTCTCAAGGACCGCTTTGACTTCCACGTCGATCGTGCAAGCAGTGGGCATCGTCAGACTAAACATTCCCGTGCCTTGATTCCTGAATATCATCATATCACCAAGCATCCACCAGCAGCACATCTTTCTTATAAAGAGCTTCCTCCACTTCAAAGGGGGGACATCTTCGGGGAGGAAGATAAGCTAAATGGAGTTGCAAACGATGAAAGCATGCAATTCGGTGTTTACCATACCCCAAGCCAGTTTGTCAAACTTGCGCAGATGGCGAGACATCCGTGTGACCATTTGTTTTCAGTTGAAGACAATACACGTGATAACCTGTTCGACTTCTTGACAAAGGGGCCAAACTATATTGCAAAGCAGAGGATTGAGTTTGCCAGACGAGTTGCGATCATGGCAAAGGAGTTGCAACCCGAAGAAGATCGGTTTTTCTCCACCTTACCTATGCACGCCCAATCGGTACTTAGAGGCAAGAGGTTGTTGCTGTTCCGTGAACTTCTGAAGCAATGTGGGTGCCCAGACTTGGAACCTGCCAATTTGATTTTGGGCACGGATTTGGTCGGTACGCCAAGCAAGTCGCCTCTGTTTGACACCAAGATCAAACCAGCAACTTCGACGCCTGAGTATGCACTCCTCACTTCGACTTGGCAGAGGAAGAAGATGGAGGCCAGGAATATTCATGGTGATGATCCCGAACTCTCAGTGTTGCTTTGGGACACCACTTTGAAAGAGGTTGAGCTAGGGTTTCTAGAGGGGCCGTTTAACGACTTGGAGCAGGTTCGAAAAGTTGTAGGCCAACAGCTTTTCGTATGTAGTCGCAGGTTCGTGATTGTCCAATCCGGCAAGCCTAGGGTGATTGACGACTTCAAGGAGAGCGGCATAAATCGAACTTATACTGCAATCGATAAACTTGCTTTACATGACATCGATTATATTGCTTCTCTAGCCCACCTAATCTCCACCACCCTAAGTAGATCCAAAGCGAATGGTGGCCGGGTTGTAATACCTAGGAACGACGGTAGGACTCTTGAAGGTAGTTTGCATCCGAGCTTCGAGGGCAGCATCCGGTGGCAGGGCCGGTGCGTCGACTTGTCTAAGGCATATAAGCAAGTGCCAGTAAGTAGCGATTCTCGGTGCTTTGCTGTCTTGATGGTGCATCATCCCCAGACAGGTGAACCCACCTACTTCGTGAGCAGAAGCCTGCCGTTTGGAGCGAGTGCAAGTGTATTTGCCTTTAATCGCATTTCCCGAAGTCTGCATCACTTCCGTTGCTTGGGCCTGAGAGCACTTGCACCCTGGCTTCCCACTCGTTCGAAGGACTGCTGAGGAGCCTGGGGTGGTCTTTCACTGCAGACCCATCCAAAGTTGTCCCTTTTGCACCTTGCTTTGATGTCCTAGGGGTTAGGCTTTCCTTGGGCGATCTTGGGGAGCATGGTTTCAACTTGGGCAACAAACCTTCCAGGATTGAGAAAATCACCAGTTTGCTTGAAGAGGTCATAAAGGAGGGGTCCATTAACGTTAGGCAATCGCAGGTCATCCATGGCAGCTTGAACTTCGCAATGGGCTTTTTCTTGGGGCACTCCCTCAAGATAGCGGCCCGTGCCTTCGCGTTCTTGTCGACAGGAACCTCAAAATGCTGTAAGGATGACTTGGTGGCATTATGTAAGTGGACCATTGATGTGATGGCTACTGTGCAGCCCAAGCACATCCTGCCTGGTGACGAAACGCATTCGGTGGTGGTCTTCACCGACGCTGCCTATGAAAATGACGTTGCGACCTGGGGCATTGTCGTCTTGGATGCCGCATCCGGCTTGCGCACTTCTGTTGGGGGCATAGTGCCCAAGCAGTTGGTTGATGCTTGGCACACATTCGGTGTGGAGCAGGTCATAACGCTGGCTGAGGCTTTCGCTGTCTTGCTGGCCCGTCACATGTTCAGGTCTTAATTGCTCAGGCGGAAAGTCTTGTTTTTTGTCGACAATGAGGGAGCTCGATTTAGCTTGATCAAAGCTAGCAGTGCCTCGTTGCCTTTGCTCCTCATCGTGCAGTTGTTCCATTCTTGCTCAGAATACGAGTTGTGTTTGCCTTGGGTCGAGCGGGTTCCTTCCCCCTCCAACATAGCTGACTTGCCGAGTAGGGATAAGAACGATGATGCCTTGCGAATGATAGATGGTACGCCTTGGCGTGATCTATCGTCGGTTGATGAAGTAGCTAAGCTATGCGCTGATTTTTCCGGTATGCCTGCGCTTCTTAAGTTCGTTGAACCAACCTTCGATGTTAGCCACCTTGAGCCTCTGCATGACAACATGAAGGGGGATTGAACGGGTCATGCAGAGTGTAACCAACCATCTTCGAGATGGCACCAGCACGCTCCAGTGACGCCACTTGGAACCACATCCAAGTTTCCTTGGAAACTCATCCAAGATGAAGTTCCCCTGACAACTAATCATGCAGAGAAAGAAAAATTAAATAAATATAATTTTAATCTATAAACCTCATAGATTTTGAATTATTGAAGTGGCTCTGTCACTTCTTAAATAAGCACTTACCCTGAACTTAGCAAAGACGGTGCAGCTCCCTGGAAGGGATCAAACCGTCTTTTCGGTGTTCACAGTGCATCTTAGCACGGGGTAAGTGGTTTGAGTATTGAACTCACCTTTGTAATGTTTAGTGTAAACTTGTATGTGAGTTGTGTGCTTTGTACTTGTGTACAATGAACGTTTTTTTATCAACTCATGTGCTTGTGCTTCACTTTACTATACTTTAAACTTTCAAAAAGAAAAATTACCTTCTTTGGGAAAAACTAAAAGGTCTCATGCATACGTGTGTATGTAATCTTAGACCTCACTTTCATCTAAACCCGCGCAGCACTGGCTGGCGAGGGCGAGGAGGGTTTAAAAATAACTCTCTGATCTTCATGGCCCACCCATCTTTTCCCACCCTTTTATGGGGGGATTGAACGGGTCATGCAGAGTGTAACCAACCATCTTCGAGATGGCACCAGCACTCTCCAGTGACGCCACGTGGAACCACATCCAAGTTTCCTTGGAAACTCATCCAAGATGAAGTTCCCCTGACAACTAATCATGCAGAGAAAGAAAAAATTAAATAAATATAATATTAATCTATAAACCTCATAGATTTTGAATTATTGAAGTGGCTCTGTCACTTCTTAAATAAGCACTTACCCTGAACTTAGCAAAGACGTGAGCAAACATGCGGGAAAGGGCCTGTGTGCGCACTTGAGTCTCCCCGATGGACTGTGTGCGCGCATGAGTCAAATCTGTGTGCGCAGATGAGGCGCAAGTGCTAACAAAATGTGTGTGCGCAGATGAGCCGCCGCCCTTCCAATAAAGCCCCGCGACAATTACATTCTTCACTAAGCCCCGCGACAATTACATTCTCCACTAAAGCCCCGCGACAATTACATTTTCCAATAAAGCCCCGCGACAATTACATTCGTTAGCATAAAAATAGAAACCCTCAGCATAAAAATAAAAACCCTCAGCATACAAAGAAAACCCTCAGCATAAAAATAAAAACCCTCAGCATAAAAATAAAGACCCTCAGCATACAAAGAAAACCCTCAGCATAAAAATAAAAACCCTCAGCATAAAAATAAAGACCGTTAGCATACAAAAAAGAACCCTCCCAAATCCAGCATAAAAAAAAGAACCGTTAGCATAAAGAAAAAACTATTCCCAAAAAATAGTCTTTGGACTTCTAGGGTCCATGTAGAAGTTGGAATCGGATACATTCTCTATACCCTCCGGTCGTTCTTTTGGGGGGGGCCGCTGGCATGCCAGCGACGACTTGTGATGCGATGCGAACACATCAAAACCCTATAGAGTCGCTTGGTGGCTGGATCTCCACACACACTGTAGTCCGGCGCTTGGAATTCAATGTTGAGATCCCGTTTCCATCCTTTTCCTCTCTGGAAAGGTAGGACCAACCAACCCATCTGCTTCGTCTCGTTAGGCCCGGGACATGGAGCAGGAGTTGCACAAAGCCCAGGCGCGCCGCACCGAACGCCCCGTCGGGGTCGTCGTCAGCCCGAACGCTCCGCGATGCGATGCTCTCGTGGGTTCGGTGGAAACTGGCGAGGGTGGAGGGGAGGTGTTTCGGTGCAGACACTCTGGGCCTGTGGTGATTTCTGCAAGGTTTGGGTGGTTAGTGGGTTGAAAGGTTGGTGACTGGTTTGGGTGGTTAGTGGGGTTGAAAGGTTGGTGGTGGTTGGTTTGGGTGGTTGGTGGGTTGAAAGGCTGGTGGGTGGTTTGCTGGTTTGGACAGTTTAATGAAGAGGGGATGGTGATGGGCGACCGACTCGTGATGGGACTTGTCGAGATCCAGCAAACTGAGCGATCTCAAACCCGCGACGAGCGATCTCACAAGGTCAAAGGAGTTGGGAACCACAAAACGGACTCACAGCATCAGCGTACCCCCTTCTGCCACACATCGCACATGGGTGTATTTTGATAGGACTTCCCAATGGGTTTTGGTTTGCTTTCCTCTTCCAGGGGTCTCGAACTGAGAGGTTTGAATCCACACCCTGGGCGCACCTTGACCTCTTCGCGGGAGTCACGCGCTCCGAGTCTCGCGCGACGCGTGTTCGCAACCGACACGACGCGTATGCCGAGACTCGACTCCTCCGCGCGGGAGAGACTCGTCCTCCTGTCGGGCAGGACGCCTGGCGGGATAAGATTCGCAAAGCCGAAGCTCGTGCCGCCGAGCTGGAGAAAGAGGGGAGTCTTGGAATGAAAGGTGAGGTGAGCGACCGACTGATTAGACTGGACCGGTTGGTTGGTGCGAGGAGAGTTGGGCAGGGCAGCGTTTCATGTCCTGGGATGGGAGGGATTTGGAGGGATCTGGAGGGATTGTTGGAGGTTCGGCTCATGCTCGGCTCATGCTCGGCTCATGCTCGGCTTGCAGTTCCGAAGAGGATCGGTCGAATTCGTCAGAAGTTCCGAGCATTTGGAATGCCCAACTTTCCGACCGAGTCGATCTCGAAGGCCCCCTCTGGCGGCGTTGCCAAAAAAACCTCGCAGGGTCACGGTCCGTTGTTCAAATTGAGTTGAAGAGCAGGGAGATGGGGCTGCACAACCTGTCGCACGCAAATGAGAAAGATCGAGATGGGCGAAGACTCGGGGTTTGGGTGGCACGGGCTTTGCCTTTGCTGACGTTTGGAAGACGGGGCCACTGGTCACCCATGCGACCGATTCACCCAGGAAAGATGCGGCCAACACCAGCAGTGCAGAGCTGGCAAAGATGAAAGCGCGCCTTCGCGCGCAGGCGGGAAGCGAGGTAAGGAGGTAAGGGAACGTGTTGTTTGCTTTTTCATTCAAGCTGGGATCTGAACTTTGTACGCTTGATCTATGATACTACCTCTCCATGGTGTTTTCAGAGCATCACAGCATCACCTTTTTCTTTTTGTTTCTTTGACTAAAACATACTAAAACTTGAACGACAGCTGATGAAGTCGGTGGCTCCAAGTCAATGCCTTGGCTCCACCCGCGGAGGGAGTAGAGTTGCAGAGGTAATTTTCGGGTATTCTATGCCCATGTGTTGGGGGTGACTCGAAAACTCGAACCGCTGGTCAACTGGGCTGGAAACTGGGCTTGGCGCAGAAAAGCTCGAGGTGTGACACCTTGAAGGAATTCCCCATGGCGCGGTGCTTTTTGGACCATACATGGCGCAAAATGGGCCAATCCCTACCTACCCTGCACTGGTCCAGGGCTCCTTCCCTCGCTTCCCTCCCTCTTTTTCACAAGGCATGGGAGAAACCAGTTGGTCATTGACTCATGTGGTAAAAACAATTCCGGCTGCCCCACGAACTACCCTCTACTGCAGCATCCTCAATCCAACAATCCCGGAAGTGAAACAGTTTGGTGTCTGGAAGACCACCTTTTGGACCACAATCCACAGGAGTTGGGTGGTTCATGGACACCACCCTGAATCGCTTCTGTCGAACCTGTCTGCACCCCCATGGCCAGGGGGCCCGCATTGGTCGTCTCCATACCCAACGAGACGAACCATGCTGAGCCTGGCCCGATCTCCCCAACCCCGAATGCTGTGGGTCGCTGCGAGGCCGCCGGCAGCGAGGAGACGCGCGGAGAATTGGAGGCGCCGCGGCTCGACGGGACGCTGCGCGGATCGCAGGAGCCGGACGGGGCGGAGCTCGGGTTGTTGGAAAACTCAGCAGGTCGGAGGTGGGAGGCGAGCGTGGGTCGGTTCCGTAGAGGTGGGAGGCGAGCATTTGTTCCGCAGGTGCCGCTGCACAGTCCCCAAGACTTGGACCTTTTTACTTATAAGTCGGGCGAAGGCCCAGGTGCCGCCAAACCCCCTTATGCATTTTGAGTGTGCGCGACATGTCCTGATTCATAACAGATACTCACCCCAGAGCATCAAGCTCCATGACATCTGCCGAACATGCTCGGCAGTTCAACAAACTACACATCAGATTCACCCCAAACCTTTCAGGCCTCTTCCTAGCATGTAGCAGCTTGCAGGCTAACCTTGTTCATCTACACTTCAAAAGCCCGGAAGCCATCCTTCGCCACAGCCTTGGCCCATGTTGTTCTGCGCGCAAGTGTGGCCGGAGAGGGTGCCACGCGGCAGCTTCGAAACCGGGGCACGGCCACAGACCTGCAAGGTGTCAAGTGTGGCCGGAGAGGGTGCCAGACGGCGCCTTCCAAGCCAGAGAGGCAAGGCCGTGGCCCGGTGAAAAGGCATCGGCCAGCTAGGCCGACTGGTGCAGCATGTTTGGTCATCGAAACTTGCTTGCCAAGATTGGTCCATGTTCGCTCAGCTAAATATCCGTGATAAGAACACCGAGCCAGTTGCTCTGTCGCCAGATTTTGGCACATCTTGCCACTACAGCCGAAAGTCTTTGGTGCGCTGTCTCTGGATGTTAATTTGGAACGGCCACGGAAGAACCTTCCGCAGCTATTTTCTCAAGCAAAGTACCATATGCTTTACACCAATGGGCCCATGCCTGATTGATATCACTTACTCTTAATATCTCTTAATGAATCTACACCTGATGGCGTTGAACGTTTTGGGGATGCTTGTGTATCAGGCGGCTTTGGGAAAACGTAGTTTCACCCTGATCGCTTGAGGCGATCTTCATGCTGCATGGGAGAGGGCAGGTGGAGGTTAAAACACTCATCATATGGATGATTTTTGACACCTGAAGTAGCTCGATAAAGAATTCGGTTGGACAAGGCCCTTGGCCGGGATGTTGGCTAGGAAGATCTATACAGGAACCTTTTTTGCCTTTCAGACAAGTGGGAGTGCTGTCTGCGCCAGCTAAGTGATACCATTGGCCAAAAGGGCGGTTTCTTTGAGATAGTCCACTACTTCGCGCTATTCTTGATTATATTCTCCGGCAATGACTAGAGGTAAGGAACCTAAACTTACGAGAACTCGATGATTAATGGCATTCAAATTCTCCAGGGCACGAGGTTGCTCCCATCTAGAGCCAAATCCGTAGAATCCAGCGAAGATGACGCTTGCCTGGCCATCGCCACAAAAGGCTTGCATGGCAGCTACTCGACCATTTTTTGAGTTTTTGGAGATCAGCTGATGGAAAAGAAAGTGTGCGGAAATTGGTCCAAGACTGCTTATGCGTTACTATTGCTATTCCTGCACGAGTTGTATGCCCAGCCCACACGAAGAGAAGGCCTTGATAAGCATGTTCGAAAACTTTTTGGACTTCTGCAGTTGCATGTGTTCCTGTGAGAATAAAGAAAAACTTTCAAAGATCCAGATGCTTGCGACATACTTTATGCGACTTCATGAGCTCTCGTGCTCCGGAGTTCAGAACTTTAAAGCAAAGCTGCCGGTCAACACCATGGAAATTGCACACCATGTCGGAACAATTTCCGCATGGCCAGCTTTGGTTGAGCAAGAAGCACCATGCAATCCAACGGAAGGCTGGATTCCTGTAACTGTCCACCGACCAGCTTGCACATTCGCTTCAGCCTTGAGGTCTTTGGCGTACGCGTGCCTTTGAGGTCTGGAAACCGAAGTGCAAATCGAGGTTCATAAGAAGTTCCATGTTCAGTGATCCCAAGAACTGAAGCATGCTGTGCCATGCGGAGAGATTCTTCTTGAGTACAACTTGGGTCACTTTTGGGTTATGGCATCCTTCGGCAAGGCCTTGGCCCATGTTGTTTCGCGCGCAACTGTGGCCGGAGAGGGTGCCAGAGGCCTGGGCAGGGCGCACCGCCACGTTGCGACTCTGCGGTGCCCTCGGCTTATGCCAGGCCAAGCCGGGGTCGGCGGGCATCTTCTCTACTCTTAAATTAAACAAGGTCTCCACGGCCTTTTTGTGTCAGATCCGTGGCTTTTTCGCGTGGCTTGGCGCACGTCAGGCATACAAAGCCCGGGCGGAGGACGAGATGGGTCGACTGAACGAGCGTCTGCGCGCCTTGGAGCCGTATGGGGCGATGAATGGGTTAAGGGGCTCTCATTTCTGAACAGGAGGATCGGATGAAACACATTGATTGAATAATGGGGAATCCTGAATAACAACGGGCTTCACACTACGAAACCACATCAACCGGGCTCTTCCAATGGTTTTGGAAGGCGAGAAGGTTCTCCATGTCATCTCTCCGTCCCGTTGGTGGCCGGACAAAATAGTTATTGTTGGGATCTCTTTTTGGGATGTCGGCGGCGGCGGTGGTGGTTTCCCAATGGTTTTTCATGACTTGGTTTTATCGTGGAAAATTTGGACACCGCTTTAAGTGTGCTTCTGCGGATGGAAATTATTAAAGAACATCGAGAAGGGATTGAGACGATCCCCATCCTTTAGAGTCCAGGACCATCCGAATCAGACGTGTTTTGGCCCCACAAATAAACTTTCAAGAAGTGCGAACTCACCTCCAAGACCTGTCCTCAGGAGGTACCTGGACCCCATGCGAATGGTTACTTACTGTTGGTTTTTTGGTCTCAGTGGCATGCGGGTAAGGCAGTAGCTTTCAGCATCGGCTTGTGTTTTTTCCATCCGGTGGAGGGAACTGCGTTCTTTCGTTGTTTGGGCAGGACAACTCAAGATCACCGAATTGTACTGGCGGTGAGGTATAGAGACAGGGACAGTGCGGGCACACATCAAGAAGATGAGTTCAAACGTCTAAAATTGTATATATCGACACTTATTACTGATTACGGTATATAAGTAACTAGTGCTTCATTGAATTGCATCAAGGCTTGTGGGATGTATTTCACTCGCACTCTCACAAAGTGAACGTTATTCATTCTGTCTGTCTAGAAACGGATTTGAGACCCCAGGGCTGTTAAGGAGATCCAGATTGATGGCTTTGGGTGGTTGGCTCGGGGGTGTCTACATGTGTCTGTCCACGTGCCCAGGGTTCACGTTCCTCTGACAGTTGGAAACTCTGAACCTGGTCATCGCCGTGATCACCGATTTTTCAAGCCCAAATATCAGGGTCAATGCTGAAGGAGAATTTGTCGAGATGTGGTCATGTTCGAACCGGAATTCGACTAGTTAGTACCTAAAGACCATTAAAGACCGGTCCAGTGATTGTGGCACAAACGAGTCGATCTAGAAACACCCTCACCCTCCATTCGTCCGCAACAGCTAGAACACAAAAATCATCTCAACTCCATCCGCTTCGCGAGCGCGAGGACTGCCCACAGAATCCATCCTGCCCAAAGCACCACCTGGAATCCACCCCACTCGTCAGCCGCTTCGCCGCGCATCTCAGGTGCCACCGCGGAGAGCGAGCTGCGCGTGCGCCACGAGCTGCAGAGCAGCGAGCACGCGCGGCAAGAGCTGCAGGCGCCGCCGTCGGGGGGACGGAGGGAACGGAGGGACGGAGGATGATTTCATGGGGATGAATGGTTGGATGGATGGGTTGAACACCCATCAGGCCGCCCCAACAGATGTAGACTCTTGATTCATGAGCCGCCCCCCCTTGTTGGAGTGCAACACCCCCTTTTTTGGCTTGGGGGTTGTTTCAAATCAAGAGTGTACATCATCCTGGGTGTGCGGATCGGGTTCCTGGGTGGGTGAATCCTAATCTCCAGACCTGGGGAATAGTTATTTATTACTACCAGGACCCCCAGTCGGGGTGCTAGACATGGACACCCCGAATCACAGCTTTTTGGGGCTATAAATAGACACCCCGACCGGAGGGTCCTGGTATTCTTGTTTATTGAAGACTCTTATTCCCGGTTCCTGGACCAATTGCAAGTCATGGTGGGGTGCTTGGATCAGTTGATCTGTCGGAACCGGCTTCCCGGCGGCCCCAAGCACCTCTTCAGAGTGGACCGCGACGAACGGAACGAACGCTACGACCGGACGCACCGGTGCGTGGTTCCCCAACGCGTGGTGGCTCCATTGAGCCTACGACCCGTGAGTGCCGTTGGTGCAGGAACGCGTGGTGGAGCTCTCAGGCCGGACGTGGTCGGCGCAGCGAGAGTTGGAGGAGGAGAGTTGGGGCGATCCGAGGTGAGGAACTGTCCTCCTCAACTGAAGCTTCTGCAACTTCCCGAGTCTCAGGTAGTACTTCAGCTATATTACTAAGACCTAGGGCCTTAGGGTTTGTTGGGGCCAAAGAGTGGAATTGGACCGTTCCGGGCCGCCGGTACGTCCCAATGGTCAGTATGCCAGCGGTCTTGGAGCCTCCGCTGATGGCCGATCTCGGCTGCTTCTCCACACCACGGACCGTGGGGACCGTGGCCCGGTTTCTACCGGGGCCCGTGCCAGGCCAGTTGGAACATGCTCAACAAGCGTACAGCGCCTTGGATGACACCTGGGAGTTAGGAGAGCTGACTCCGGAGGAGGGGGCAGAGCGAGCGGCGGGGATGGGCGGAGCGAGCCGCGAGCCATGGGCTGAGCTCAACCCGAAGGGCCCGACCTCGTCCCAAAACCGGTGGGGTCGACTCGGTCGACCGAAGGTGACGGGAGCCTCGGTTGTTGAGATCTGAAAGAGGTGAGGGATGGGCACTGACATCGTGAAGTCTGGCAGAACAGGCTGTGCACATAGCGCATCTCGAGAATCAAAAGGTCAAAACACACCCAAAACATGGGGTGACAATGGGTGACACATACCAGCACCTTCACAGGGGGTCACCTGGCTGGGTTCGCCCCAGCCCACTACTATCTAGGACCTCCAGACAGGACACCCCTTTTTCAGGTTTGGAGCGGGGGCGGTGGCCTGAGGTTCGGTCTGAAAGACTCGCGCAACTCCCTCCCGGCTTCCAGGCGAAGCAGCTCGAGAGGTGCGAAGCAGCCCGAGAGGGATCAAAGAGACCCTGTGGCGATGAAGCGGTGGTGTTCTTTCGGGGTGAAACCTCTTTTTGTTTGGAAAAGGATATCCAACTTCCGAAGTCTACACTTTCGAAGTCTACGGTGGACCACAGGCTCGCGTGGACCGGTGCATCCCAGTTACCACGTCCATAAGGAACCAGGGATTCTAGGCTTCTATAGGTCTATGGTTTTGGTCTTTGGAACCACTGGGACTCCCAGCGAACGTTCGTGGTTTGCCTGGATGCCCTGGGATTCTTTGCCAGCTGGGGATGGGTCGTTGAAGCCTGGAGCCCGACCAGTCCACCCAGGGATGCGAACGAAGGTCGCCACCCAGCCACCGAGCCCGCGTCGCGAGTGTCGGCCGCGTGTGACCGGTCGAGCTCTGCTCAACCAGCCGTGCTGGGCTGGTTGGGGATGGATCGAAAAGGCAGGATCCCTCAAAGTCCAAGACGATCAGAAGAATGGTCTTTCGGTGACCCGAGTCGGTCAGAATCTAGTCGAACTGGACTTCAGACGGGCGGACGGACCCTGCGGATCCAGGAAGATCCATTTGGGGTCTTCCGTTTTCTGCGAGCCGCGGACATCGGCGCGACGGTAGGGTCGCTAGTAGAGTCATGGACATCTCCTCGGCCAGGTGGGGCAAATGTCTTTGCGCTTGAATGAGCAGCTTGGCAGGCAAAAGCAAATAAAGTTAATAATTAATATAAAAAACTAAAGCAGGGTTTCAAGTCATCCAAAGAAGCAGAGGGGAGTTTGGTGACGATCCTAAAAGCAACCTCATGCAGCTTTTGATGGAGGTCGAAGACCACACCGTCCATGACGGTCGCTGGTGTCTTTATCGTTCAAGCCAACACACCCTCCCCACGCAAAGTGGCCCACCTACTAAGATTACAAAGCCTTTTTGGGGGAAGCGGCAGAAACCCCACTCAAGAAGAAGAGGTGGAAAGTGAGTGTTCTCCACCAAAAAAAGACGGGCACTGCAACTGGAATCGTTGGAAACAGAAACAAATTGGAACTGATTCTGCTCCCGCTCCGGGGCCACACTCTGAGAGGTTTCGTTCTGAGGACACCGGGCTCCGTCCCACCCTCCGTCCCCGCCCCCAGGTTGGAGTTCGGGCAGAGGGCCGACGGCCACTCGGAGGTCGGGCTCCGGTGAGACCCGGTGGTGCCTGGCGGCGCTTGGAACGGAGGTTGGCTGGCTGAAGGGCAAGTCATCCAAAGCCCGGAGAGAGATGATGATGCGTTGGGCTAATGCGTCTAGGGGTGCACTAAACCGGGTTTTGGGGGGTGGCAACTCTTGTATTTGTTATTTTTTGGGGGATGCGACTCTGCAAACAGATGGTTTTTGGCCATGTGGCCCATGTTTGGACTGGTTGCCAGCTGGTCAAACACCCCGTGGGGTTTGGAGGTGGTTTCGGACCCTCGAGCCGCCCCCCCTCCACTGACCTCCTGTCCCCCAAAGACTCTAGACCTCCTCGTTCGGTCTTTCCGCCCGCAGGACCTGCTCCGGGGCGAGCTGAGCGCCACCAAGGAGCGCCTACAGACGTGCGGGGCTCAAACCAGTTCGCCTGGTCCAGAGGTGGGTGAGTGGTTCTTGCTGGGGATGTGTGAGGGAGGATGAGAGAGGTCTCTGAAGGCCATTGCCATTAGGAGAGGTCTCTGGAGGCCATGGGCTGATACCAAGTTCATGGACACCCCGAATGACCTCTTCTCGGGGCGATTCAATGCGATTCAATAGATTCATGTATGGGCGCACCGGTATACCTATGGATCTTCCAACTATGCCCAAGGCATTCTGCCCTTTTCATCTCAAAACACCGGCTCTGAAAAGGATCCAAAATGCATCAACTTTGGTCACAGTTGGAAGATCTAGCTTTGAAAAAGGAACGACTCAAGGGCATCAATCGATGATATCGATGCCGGGCTGGCGATCTGGGGCAGGAGGCCCAGGAGGCCCGGGTGTTTTTGAGGCGGAGCTGATGGTTTGGAGGAGAAGACCTTGATCCCCGATGTTCACACAGTCTTGCCACCTCCCAACCGCAACGAGGCTCGAGGAACGGCATAAGGAGCCGGGAGGCCCAGGACAGCATCGCTTCCAGGACAGCCGTCTCCCCACCCAGGGAAGCGTCTTTCTGCTGGTGACCGGGTGGTTTGGTTCGCGCGCAGCGCGTCGATGAGCGGGTGGATCTGGGGGACAGTCCTCCATGGCCTTAGCTGGTCGTGGGGGTTCCAGGGGACCCCGGTGGCCTGGGCGGTCCAGAACGCGTCACGGCTCCAGGTGCGTTTGGATGAGAGACCACGCCTTACAGCAAGCCGAGGAGGCCTGGAACGTCGGCCAGGATGGATACACTGTTTCAAACACCTTGTGGTCAATAACCTGACTCTGCTCAATGACCTTAACAACCTGTACTACCCAGTGAAACGGAATACTGAAGTCAAGATCCAGACTTCTCAAGTCAAGAGCAGGAGCCTGCAAAATGCATTTTGGGACAGACCAGTGTTCAGCTTCCGTGTGAACCATCCAGGATGCATCAGGGCATGTCAGAGGTGCCCTGTTTCGAGGTGTTCACAACATGAAGAAACAACTTTCGGTACGGATCGGTACGGCATTATTAAATACAACCCTCAGAATGTTGTCGTCCGTTACTTACTACTATTCAAGTGGTTTTGGAAAGACTTTGGATCCTAAGGGAGAAGAATGGTCCAGTGATGTTATTTGGTTTCAGCTCAAGGATCAACCCTGGCTGCTACCTCTGCGTATCTCCTGACATTTTGTTTCCATTTGTTTGTTTGTGTGTTTCTTCCGTCTCTCCTAGGACACGTCAGTGTCAGGCCGTGACTCCAAGGCTCAACACAGCGCACCACGAGGTGTGCAAGTTCGACCCGCGCCACGCCGACGCACGCCGCGCGGGTTACGTGGCCAGGTGCGTGGCAAGCTCCAGGCAGCGGAGGAGCGGAGCGCGGAGACCGTTCGGATCGATTCGATGGCACGCGACGCCTGCAGCAATCCACCGTTTTCTCATCCATGGGTACCGTGGAGTTCTCATGGTCACGGCACCAAAACAGGTGGAGAACTCCACGTAACGATGGAAGAGGTTTCAGGGAGTGGACATTGCTAGGGCAGTTTTGGGGGGAACCCCCTTAGACGGAGTCATTTTGAGTCATCCCTTCACTGGCCATGTGTGACACCGGGCACCTGAGGCACCTGGTGTCCAGGTCAACCGTCAACAAGTTCCGCCATTCGGTGTGCTTTTTTAAATTTTGCCTCACAGAAGTAGATCATTGAAGTTCCCCCAAATCAGATGACGGTGACCCTAAGAGACAAGCCTTCTTGTGGTCTTTATATAGACTTTCCGGCATACTTGGCGAACTTGACGCCGGAGCCCTTGATGTTGCAAAGCATTCAGAGCGACAGCATGTCAGCCCCAGTTGCCACCTCATGTGGTTTTTCTTTCTGATTGTTTGTCCCTGGTCCAGGAACAGCAGGAGATGCTGAGGGCACAGATGGCGGAGCAGGCGCCTGGTGCCTTCGTGGGGCGGAGAAAACAGGGGCGGAACGGACCCCTTTGGGTGGGCTTTTGGAGCATTTTTTTTGGTGTCCAGTGTCTTTACAAACTCGAACTGACCATGAAGATGGACTTGTGAAAGACCAAACTTCCTTGACCAGCCAATTGGTTTTGCAGGTTGGAGAGTTTGGAGCTGCTGGGAAAGAGGTTGTAGGCAATATTTTACTTTCCTGGTGCTTTCTCATACCGTTGTTGCGATGGACAACTGCACAACTCGGAGGGTCTCCGTAACTCCTAGATCCCCCACCAACCCGATCACTCTGTCCGACATGTGAGCTTCTTGACAGGCAAGGACGCCGCCTCCCAATTGAAGCGGCTCCCATCCATAAGAAACAAACCACTTGAGACGCCTTGAAAGGGATTGGACACGGATATTATTGCCTTTATTATTCCTTTTCGCGGACATCCGGGGCAAATGTGGGTCACAGCCATGGCTTGCAGATAACGACAAAGGGGGCCTTCAACCTGATTTCAGGATCAACAAACCTTACCTGCATAACCACTGACAGGTAGCCGAAATCCTAGACAGAAGGGGGAACAACCAGTCTACACTCCCTCCAGCAATCATGGAACACGAGTTTCCTCTACAAACTGGCGGGGTTCAGTTCCATTCTTGTTGGGAGGAAAACACCTTGGCCAAGTGATGGCGGCTTTTAGCAGGAAAATACCATGAAATCAATGGTTGTTGGAAGCCTAGGGGAAAGATGGATCATACGTCGGAGACGGCTCCCCACGGTTAATCCTTCACCGTTGGGGGGAAGCTCTGATGGTTTTGGTCTCGGACCCAGGAGAATGAACAAACAGGCTTGGAGTGCAAATCTTTCTTTCACTGTTTTTTGGCTTTGGCCGTGATATCTATATGGGCCTGTCCCCTTACCAGCAGAGACCCACGTGATGGCTGGGGTGCGTTCTTCTTTTCCAAGGGAAACGTGCTGGCGTAAATGCGGCGTGTCGCTGGGGAGCGGGATGATTGGTGGAGTGGAGACGCGACTCGGACCACTCCCCACGGCATTCCACGACGAGATCCCCCGCCAGGGTCAGTCGCTGCATGCAGCTCCGGAGGCACCGCACGGGGAACAGGGCCCGCTGGGTGGTGTGGCCCTTGCTTTTTGATGCACCAAATATTGGGGTTTACTGTGGTTACTTTGTTACTATACTATACAGACTATACTATACTACAGTAAGACTATATACGATACGATATAATACTATACTATACTATACCATACTATACTATATTAGTGAAATCCTTTAAAGCCAAGTCCATGGCACGAAGCAAACATGGATATTGAGATTATGTGAGCCAAAAGAAGGCTTGAAGGATGTGTTTTCTTGTGACATTTGGCGGTCGGAAAAAGAGCCACTTGTTCTTGAGATCCCTGGTGGGGGCCTCGGTTGAACGCTCTCGTTGAAGAGCTGAACCCGACAGGGTGGATTTTTGGGCACACACACTTGTCAACCAGAGGCTGGTAGATGGCCTCTTGGCCTCTTGGCGCTCGGAGGTGTTTAAAGTACATCTTGGTCGCTCCCATATCGCCAACCTCCTCGCTTCCAATTCGGCGCCTTTCCAAAAGGCACGCGGAACAAACAAACAACGCCGCCGCCCACCAAAACGACTCGCCGCCGCCCCCACCGCCAGACAGCGCACACCAGGTGAATGAGGCTTTGGACCTGGCCCAGCAGGAGGCGAAGCAGAGAACGGGATTTGGGTGGGGGTTGGGTGTGGGATTGATTTTTTGGTGACGCTGTGACTTGTCTATCTCTATAATTCAGAAGAAATCTGGAGGGGGGAACAAAATCTCTAGGAAGGCTTCTGTGGGGTTATGAAATCTCTGCAGGTGACAAGCGCTTTCTTGATTTATGGGTGTGTGTATTACTCTGCCTGCAACTGGCGTGGTAGTGGACGTCACCCCCCAGTTTGGGTAGTCTTCGGAACATGCTCTTCCGGGCCCATGCCATCCACGTGGGTTCCACGGAGTGTAGAACTGATCAGGAGCAGGGGAGACGACCCTTTGACAGCCCCACATTTGGTGCGGAGCATCGAAGTATCTACAGAGTCATGTCACAAGGTCTATACACACCCACAGATGGGATAGGCGAGCGGCCAGAATGGGCTGTTGAACGCGTGTTTCATTCTTTCTAAAACATGAAATGAGGTGCCAGGACCTTCAAAGTGACCTTTTGAGATCCTAGAATGAGGTCACTTAGTCCCTAAAGAGGTCACTTAGAGACTCCAAAGAGGTCACTTTGAAGGTCCTGGTGCATCTTTTGGATCAAATGAACCAGAATGGACTGTTCAACCAATGTTCCATATGGTTACAGGTCACCTCCGCCTTAACACGGCAGGTGGCAGCGTTGCAGGGCGCTCGGTTTGTTTGATTTTTGGCCGGTGGGTCGGGAGATGGCCGACAGAAAGACCCCGAGGTTCGTGGGGAAGACAAGGTTCCTGGTGCTGGTGGAGTTTCTTAAAAAATGTCTTTTCAAGTGTTTTCAAATCCTATGTACTCTAGGAACGCATGCTAATTATCTAATGTCCGTGATAATCCTGTTCACGTTTAGGATCAGCTTATTTTTTTGAGGGTGTTGAGGAGACCTTCTGAGTTCCCCCCATAAACCGACGCGACCAGACGCAGTTCTCTGGCCGTCAAGCGAGGGGCCGTTGGTTTTCAACCGGACCGAGGAGCTCTTCGGTGTCGTCCGGCGGGCGGGTTCGAGCAGACATGGATTGAACCCCTACCCCTACTCCTACCCCGTGGATTTGTTCCATGAAGTTCCATGATTGAACCCCCCGTGGTTCCGAGACCCACCATGGAACATCATGGTTTTCTGAAGACGAAGAAACCGCCCGGTTTGTAAAGGCAAGTCAGTCGGCAAGTCTTCCTTGCAGGTTCCATGCCGGCCACGCCCGGAGACAAAAGTGGGTCTCTAACACCGGGTGTAGATGACTGAAGCTCACTTTCCAAGGCAATGAGTTTAGCATAGTTTAGCACCGTGCGCATCGCGTGTGCATCGCGTGGCACAGGTGGCTTGATCTTGCGCCTGGCACATCTTTTTGGAGGGTGATTGTGGCATCATACCCCCTGTGCTTGTTTCAGCCGATTTCGCTTTTGGCTGCCATTTCTGCAGCAATCGGCAAAGGCAGCAGCAAATGCAGCGACTGGCGGAGCAGCACCAGACCGAACTGCAGCAACAGGCGGGCTTCAAGAGCGTGACATGTGCAGAGTGCTAGGAGCAAGCCTATAGCAGTTAGAATGTAATTTGTTGCTTTTTATTGCGGAAGATTCTTGAAGGCCAACAAGGACCAGTCGCCTAATGGGTAAGGCGTTGCTATTCTGCTTTGCAGATTTCGTAAATCATTGCGGTTGAAGTCCTCCCTGGTCCGTTTTCCACATATTTTTTTAAAATATATTTACAATGGTCTCAGAGTAACATAGATGGCATTTGCACGCATTTGCACAAACCCAAGATCTTTCTTTGTATCTCGGGGCCCATACAAACCACCGACCTTGGGGTCCCCAGTGCCATCCGACACGTCAGGCGGCCATGTCCACCGAAGAGATCGACTACTTGAAGCGGAAGAATGAGGTTGGGCCTTGCAGCTTGTGGGGAGGTTGATTGTCACAGATTTGTAGACCCGGCATTGACTCATGAGTGTCACGTGCCGCCTGCGGCCCCGGTCCTTGCGACCTCTTTGCACCGAGGAGAAGGAGAAGCGCTTGGAGGTGCGCTTCGATCGTCGGGCGCTTCACTTCCTGGGGCCGTAGCCAGAGAGTGTGCGTGGCGGTAGGCCGAACGGTAGGCCGAACGGTAGGCCGAACGGTAGGCCGCCAGGCAGTGGATCACCGTTTTAAGATTCAAAAAAGAACGAGAGCCTTGTCAAGGCACCCTTGTCGGAGTTCCCAAGAGCAGATCGATGAACGACCCCCGCCGAAAGACCCTCGTTCGGAAACAGATCCTCACCTGTGAGCGGAACGCGCTGCGCTACGAGCAGGAGGCCGGGGAACAGAAGATGGCCTTGGTTTTGGGCGGAATCGGGTGGTCCTTTGCATGGTGGCCCACCTGTTCCCCCTAGGCCGCCGGGGTGAATGCCAACCTGCGGGTAACTGGAGGACTGGAGGTGTTCCGATCTTTAACTCAAAAAGCAGCAAGGAATCCAAGGTTTTTTGGGATGCGACAGAAGCAGGGCACTTCCAGGCCACGCCCTCAACTCCCCACCTTCGCCACCTCCAACCCGTTGCCCCCCACTCCCCGCAGGCCGACGGAGGGTCGAAGACGAAGGTGTCGCCGGCCCGACCCAGTGCGCGGGACGAGGACAAGGCGGGGGGCGGGGGGTTTTCGCCCGGCTAGCATACCCCCAATGAAGAGATTGGGTGGGGCGAATCGCGTAGGTAGGATGCAGGCTTCCAAGCACCATGAATTTAATAGGCCTTATATGGCCTTATACCGAAGCAACTATAAGGATGTTGCACAAGTACCAGGTCGTTCCCATTTTTTAAAAATCGTCTTGGAAGTCTAGGGTAGGTGAACCACTCGTCTCTTACCGGGGTGCAGACGCGACCGCGTCCCGGTTTGATGCGGGCGGACCGAACACCGTCCGGCCGCAGTTGGTGGACCTCGAAGATGGCTTGTCCTTGAAGGAGCTTTCTCGGGAACAAGGCCCGGGCATGGGCATGCAACGTCGAAAAGGGAAAAGCTACAAAGATAGTTGAGTGTTGAGCATAGCAAACTGACCATGGCACATCCCACCTGATTGCGCACGCTACTTGGCTGTGAGAAAGATCAGACTCAAAAACCTGCAGCTTTTGGGCCGATACTTCCGTTGACGAGGAATTTGGGCCACCGCCGTGACGGTGTACGCAACTTCAGCCCATGCACCCACAGAGAGCGGTGTTCCGTTTTTCGGGCTCCAAAAGCAGGTGGAACACCTGCGGATCGGGGGTGTTTCAGGGTCGGTGCCGGTGGATTCCACTTGGGCAACACAGATTGATGCGCTCCTCCTCCTCCTCTCCTCCTCTCCTCCTCCGCCAGGGGCAGTGAAGGCTCGGGCCGATCCGATGCGTTGGGCGGACCTGCGGGAGATGAAGGTGTACGCTTTTTGCGCAGGTGCTGGCTAGATGTTAGGTTCACAGGTGGATTTCAGCCACCTAAAGGAAGGGAAGAATGGATGCGCAATTGGTAACCCCCTGCTCTTTCGTCGCCGCCCTCCTGAAACTCCGTCCTTCTCCTTCTGGACCGCTTTGATTGCAAACCATGCAGGCGCAACAACATGTGTTAAGCCAGTTCGGTACATGAAACCAACAGAAGTCTCCCAAGCGGATCTGGTGTGTTCACAAGGGCATGGAGCGAACCGATTCAAATCCGCAGACACAGTTGAAATGTAGTAGGCCTGCAATTCTGACATGGCAGCAGCTCAGAAGTTGCTTGCAGAAGCTGTATGTTTTCAATGGAGGCATTGTGTATCTTACCTTCAAAGACAGGGCTGTGGCTCAGCTGAAGGGTTCTGGCCTGGGAGGGGTGCAAGCCTGAATGAGCCAGCCAGGTCATTTTTCCAATGTTTCCACTTTTTTCTGGTTCTCGAAACCCCCTGCTTAGCGAATATCCGGCATGGAGAATTGGACCTACCCCCGTCACCTCTTTTGTTGGTGTGCGGCATCCTGCAGAACCGCAGATACCTCCAACATCCTCCAACGTTTTCAAACATCACCACCTTCATCCCAAATAAGAACATTTGAAAGCCTCTTCAGGGCTGCT